GGGGGGGCGTCATCAAGTTTTTGAGACCTTGCTAGGCGACTGATGGTACTTGGATGTTACCATATCCTAAAAGTGGTACAATGGGGGAAAAGGTTGAAAAGCCCTGCACTAAAGAGAGAAGATGGCAAGGAAGTAACTGGCAGAAAGGAGAAAGCAGAGCTGCTTAACTCATTCTTTGTATCAGTCTTCACACAAAAAGAAGCTATAGCCCAACATACCCAAAAAAAAAAAACCACTACTGCAAAAGACAAATTAGAAACAAAATTAAAATAAACAAGAAAATGGTAAGAGAACACCTATCCAACCTTGACAAATATAAATCACTGGGACCTGACAGATTGCATCCCAGAGTTCTGAAGGAGCTGGTAGATGTTATCTCAGAACCATTGTACCATATCTTTCAAAAATCCTGGAGCACCAGGGAAGTATTTGAGGATTGGAAAGGGAAAAAAAACAGACTCAGGAAACTACAGATCAATCAGTCTAACATCAATACATGGGAAGATACTGGAAAACAGATCTGTGAACAACTAGAAGCAAACAAAGTTATAACTAATTGCCAGAACGGATCTGTTAAAAACAGATTGTGCCAAACCAATCTTATTTCATTCTTTGATAAAGTGACTAAATTAGTAGACCAACGAAATGCTGTGGACATAGTATACTTAGATTTCAGTAAGGCATTTGACAAAATAGACCACAACCTGCTGCTTAGTAAGCTAGAAAAAGGTGGGATAGACAACATCACCATCAGAAGGATCTGTAGCTGGCTGGCAAACCGTACTCAAAGAGCAGTCCTCAATGGTACTACATCTACATAGAGAGAAGTAAGCAGTGGGGTACCACAAGGCTCCGTCTTTGGCCCAATACTCTTCAATGTCTTCATCAATGACTTAGATGAAAGAATAGAAGTGAACTCATCAAATTTGCAGATGACACTAAACTGGCAGGAATAGCCAACACCCAAGAAGATAAGCTCAGGATTCAAAAAGATCTTGACAAACTTGAACAATGGGCCCTATCCAACAAAATGAGTTTTAATGTGGAGAAAAGCAAAGTTTTACATTTAGGCAGGAAAAATCAAAGGTTTAAGTACAGATTAGGTGAGACCTGGTTCAAAAACAGTAACTGTGAGAGGAACCTTGGAGTCCTAGTGGATGATAGCTTGACTATGAGCCAGCAGTGTGCAGCAGTCGCCAAAAAAGCTAATACAATCCTGGGTTGTATAAACAGAGACATAGAATCACGATCACATGAAGTATTATTACTGCTTTATAAAACCCTAGTGAGCCGCCATCTCCCTTTGTTGACCTGGACTTAGAGGACAGTATTAATTGTGAATACATGCAGATGGTCCCGCTATCTCTGGCTACTTGCAAAACCATGAATGCAAAGTCATAAAAGGACAGCAAAGGAAACACCCAATATCCTAACCCACCTGGGAACATATGGTGTCTTGGGGAAACACCCAAAAGGGCACATTTTTAGCTACTTCTGCTTTCTTCTTATCTACAGTGTGCCAGCCTTAAAAGATGAAGTCTTTATCTTATGTGTGTCAGCTTTGCTGGGTGAATTGCTTATGTAATCAAAGAAAGTATAAGAATAAGGCTTTTCTGATATTTGGGGCTTTTTGTCTCTTTTATAGAAGCTTATCTTTGTTCAGCTGAATAAAAATGTAAAGCTTGAAGGTAACTTCTGGTTTCCTGAATTTTTTGTCAAGCAAAACCTCAGAACCTGCATAGCATTTTTGGCGAGCCAGGCAGGGTCCTAGGGAGGCTCCAGAAGGGGGAAGGCGCCAAGCGTGCTCTGGTATTTCCTGGAGGTGCCCTCCCTTCTTGACTCTTGAACAGGAAGTAGTTTTTTTCTTTTTTGCTGTTGTTGTTGCCTTCACTTGGTTCCTGCATACTCAGAAAGGCTGAAGATAAGGTAAGCTTATATTGCTTTATTGCACAGGCTTGCCTAGGGAATGTGTGTGTATGTGTGTAAAAGTGTGTTTGTTTCCTTAAATCATTTCCCTCCGTTGACCAGAACTGGGTGGAAGGGTTTGCCTCAGCCACACCTAGACCCCCCTCAAATTTTTTTGGGGGGGGGCATTTAGAAAGCAAGAGGGGCTAACCTTGTACTCTCGTACTCCAACAGGTTGTGAGTGTTGAACTTTGCGGTTTGTGGTTGCTTCTTATATATTTCCCGCTGTTGACTAGGCTTAGGCGTGATACTGATCCTAGCCACTTGTAGCCCCCTGCAAGGCTGTTGTGCCGTTAACCAGGGGTATCTACATTGCAAGGAGGATCTGTGGATCTCCTGTGGCCCAACAGGCTGTGCAAGTCATGTGAGAGATTTAGATACATGGGCTCAGCCCAAGGAGGATCTGTTAGAATGAATAAAATGAAGGTATGTTCCCCCATCACCGTTGAGAGTGTTATAAGGAACTTTGATAAGCTTAAAACCCGTCGGGATATGAAAATTGAAACTCTAAGTACAATGCCCTCTGGCACCAGGATAAGCCTACTGTTTGGCCCAAAGGGGGGTCCATATATTTGGGGGGGGGGTTTGAAACTATGGGAGGTTATGTTCAAAGAGGCATGGATCATGATCAACAAGCTTATTATGCACTTTTTTGGACTAAGGAATAAGCAGATGCTTAAAGACTGTGGGTTGCGGCAACTTCCCACAGCACCACCTTTTCCAGCTTTATCTTTTGCTCCACCACCTTATAAGGGGATTTCCCCTCTCACAGAGTAGGTAACTATTGGAAGGGGGGACACTAATAAGGTCCTGGTTCATACCCCCTTCTCCACATCTGACCTTTATGTATGGAAGGACTGATTAGGTTCTTACACTGCAGCCCCACACAAATATTCTGAATTGGTTCTGTCTATCATTTGAACTCATAACCCTAATTGGGCAGACCTCCAAGCCATGCTGGATGTCTTTTTAATAGCAGAGGAAAGGCATCTGGTAGGAAATGCTGCAAAAAGATTAGCTGAAGAAAGGAAGGTCCTTTGTCCTGAAACTGACCCTAGATGGGTCATTACTTATGAAAGTAGAGACTATGAACACTTAAAAGGCTTTCAAGACATTCTTGTCACTGCGTTGCAGACTGCTTTTCCTAAACAGAAAAATTTGGGCAAGATTTATATTTATTCATCAATTGCCATCAGAAAGCCCCAGTGACTTCCTTGAGTGCCTCTACCAAGCCTTCAGGAAATATAATGATTTGGACCCAGAAGTTCCAGCAAACACCCACTTGGTCAATATGCTCTTTCTTAGGCAGAGTGCCCCAGATATTAGGTACAAATTACAGAAGCTGGAGGGGGCTTCAACTGACACAATTGGAAAATTGTTGGAAGTAGCTTATAAAACCTACAGTATGTATCAAGACCAGAAGTAACAGCCAAAGGGGTTAAAAGGGATGAAAAATGAAGCATTGTTTTGCTGGCTCAAGCTCTACAATGGGCACCCCTAGTGGGAAGGGACTCGCAGAAGAGGATGGCGAGGAGCTTTAGGGCCTCCTTGGGAGAAAAGTGGATGATGCCACCAAGATTCCAAACACCCCCGGAACGTCCAATGCAGTCTTTTGCCCTAAGACTGGACCAGGGTCGTATATGTAAGAAATTTGGCCATTGGGGCAGGGAATGTCCTTTACGTTCCCTTCCCAGCCATCCTATAGGGTGTGTTACTCCACAACCATGCTTTAAATACTAGGGGGGTCAGGGGCTAGAGGGTCTTTGTCTCCCTGCCCTTTCAAATGATTCTCCCTCTGCACCCATGGTAAAGTTTAAAGTTGGAGGGGAAACAATACCTTTTTTGATTGATACAGGGGCTTCATGTTCAGTATTAAAGAAGCCCCTTGGAAACTTTTCCTCACAAACATTCCAGGTTATTGTGGCCAGTGGCCAATCTTTATCAGCAGCAATACTTGACCCTTTAGAATGTTCTTTAGGTGATACTCACCTTACTCATCAATTTCTTTATCTTCCAGATTGCCCTATGCCACTTTTGCTTGCTAGGTTACAGGCAACTATCTCTTTCAAAGGGGACCAGGTTGAATTAACAGTTCCCCCTGAACAAGCCTGGCATGGTCTGACCCTTCAACTTTCCTCATCTGAGGACACACATGAGTGGCCTGGTTTGTTAGATTGCTTTGTTGACTCTAATGCATGGTATTCAGGGGTCCCTGGCCGGGCTATTAATGCAGTTCCCATGGAAGTAGGCTTGCACCCTGATGCACTGCCAGTCTCCATTCATCAATATCCAATTAGTTTGGAGGCTTTACAAGGGTTAGAACCCCTCATTACTAATTTCCTTGCTTATGGGCTTCTCAGGGAAACTGTTAGTCCTTATAATATACCAATTCAGCCTATTAAAAAGCCAGACGGCTCTATCCGTTTCTGCCAGGACTTAAGAGCAATTAATCAGATCAATATGACATTGCATCATATGGTGCCTAACTCCTATATGCTGATTTCTCAACTGGGTCCACATCTTACTTGGTACACTGTTATTGATCTAAAAGACACTTTCTTTTGTGTCCCTTTGGCTCTTGTTAGCCAGCCCCTCTTTGCTTTTCAGTGGAACATAGGCAACTTTGCTTGACTGTTTTACCTCAAGGATTTAAAAATAGCCCTACTATTTTTGGTACTTTCCTGGCCACTGATTTAGTCACATGGTGACCTGTGGAGAACACTACTGCTGTGGTGTTACAATATGTCAATGACTTACTAGTAGCTGCCCCCACTGAGGGCAATTGTCTTTTGAATTCAGTTTCTTTGTTAAATTCCCTTTGTTATTGGGGCTATAAAGTTTCCCATACTAAAGCCCAGCTTGTTAAACAGGAGGTTCGGTATTTAGGTTATATTCTGTCAAAAGAGACTAGAAAATTATCCCTGGAGAGGATCCAGGCTGTGTGCCTCCTTAAGCCACCTGGTACTAAACGTCAGCTTAGGGGTTTCTTGGGAATGGCAGGTTTCTGTCGTATTTGGATTCCAAATTTTGCTTTAATGGCTAAGCCCTTGTATCAGGCCACTACAGGTTCAGATAAAGAACCCTTTGAATGGACCAAGGATTGTCAGGTGGCATTTGTTAACATTAAGACCACTTTAGTCAATGCTTCAGCCCTTGGCATTCCTGATGTCACTAAACCATTCACTTTGTATATGGCTGAAAGTAAAGGAGTGGCTACTGGGGTCCTTACTCAAACCCTTGGTACTTGGTCTCACCCTGTAGCCTATTTTTCCAAACAACTTGATCCTGTTGCTCAAGGATAGCCAGCATGCCTTCGGGCCGCTACAGCTGCTGTTCTCCTTTTGGGGGTTGCTGAACAATGAACCTTTAGGGCTCCTATCACAGTGGAATCACCCCATTCCATCCAAGATTTGTTAGCATTTAAGGGGGGGCCATTGGCTTACAGCCTCCCGACCGGAGTGGTATCAGATCGCACTCCTTGACAACCCAGAAGTTCACATCAAGCACAGTAGCAGGTTTAATCCAGCAACCTTTCTTCCCCAACTGAAACCGGATAGTGATTATGATTGTGTGCAGACTGTTACGGAAGTATTTTCTGGCCAGCTGGATTTAACTGAAGAAGCAAACAGGGACCTGTATACAGATGGCAGCAATTTTATGAGTCAGGGAGAAAGGCTAGCTGGCTATGCTGTGGTCACATTGGATCAGGTAGTGGAAGCAGCAGCTCTCCCTGCAGGTACCTCAGCTCAAAAAGCTGAACTCATTGCCTTGACGAGGACCTTGGAATTATCAGAGGGTGAGGTTGTTAAAATCTTTACAGACAGTAAATTTGCTTTTAGTGTTCTCATGTTCATGGGGCCTTGTGGAAAGAACATGATTTGCTCACGGTTCAAGGCACCCCTGTAAAATATGGACAGGATATTTTGAGGCTGCTGGATGCTATTTTGCTCCCACGCAAGGGGCTGTCATGCATGTGAGGGCCCATGGTAAGGATGATACTAAACATGGAAAGGGAAATGCCTTGGCCAACTGCACAGCGCAGCATCTGCTGGGGCGGCAGTGGGCTGGAGGCATGCACAGGATGATGTGGAGCAGCAGCAGCAAGGGGTGGGCATGCACCAGAGAGCCCACTTTTCCCCACCACTGCCCCCACCAGTGCGAGGAGTTGCTGCCAGCCAGGCCTGTTGACACAGAGATCACCGCTGCTGTGGCCGCTGCCTCCTGCCCAGCCCCATATGTTGCCCAGGCACTGTTGCCCTATGAGGCTGGGCAGCCGGTGTGCAAGATCTGCTGCCTTGTCAGGCTTCTGTGGTGGGGCCGGCTGCGATCAGTGGGCAGCTGAGGTGGCTCCAGTCCTCTGGCTGCCCCTCTGCCTCCTCCTGCTTCCCTCCATGGCCGGCCAGTCGAAGGGGTGGAGCAGCAGGAGCAGCAGCAGCCGCTTCTGCCATCAGAGCCACCGAGTGAACAGGGCCTGGGCCAGGCGAGGGTCGCCTTCTGGCCATCCTGGGACTGTCTCCGCCCATGCTACCTCTTCTGCTTTTTTTTCTCCAGAGTGTAAAAATACATGGAAAGTCACATAATCTTCAATAAAACTATGGAAATTTGAGGCAGGAAGAAGCCATACAATAGCCAGTTCTAATTTTGTTGATGCTGTTTGGTTTTTAAATTATTTGTTGAGAAACTATGCATTTATCTTTTTTGCACACTGCTATATTTCATAACTGCAGATAGTTAATGACATTAATACATATACATATAAACCATCCACAATGGTCAAGTTTAAGTAATTAAGCTAAATTAGACAGATAAATTAATTAATTTCAATATTAATTAAATGAATTAAATAAAATAGAATGGAATCATATGTGGATATGTGCCATCTTGCAAAAGGCTAACTTAATGGCTATCTCTATCTCAATTACAAGTAGATATGAACTTACCATAGCTAAGCTATTCAGAGAATATCACAGCCAGTAAATCAACCAATCTGGTTCCATTTTCTCCAACAACCAAACCTGTTAGAGAATTTTAATTTCTCTATTGGTGAAAAAATAAATCAGAAGCTCTCACAGTTGACTGTATTTTGACAGCCTTTTTCTGTCCCTTTCTTCTGATTGCTTTCAGAATATGTACCCATGCAGTACTTCCAAAAATTCTCAAATGTGCCAGTGATGGCTTTCTCCCATATAGAATGGCATATGGAGTATTATTAACGGAGGAACTCCACAGCCTGTTAACTATATAATTGGCAGTCAATATGGCTTCTCCCCAATATGAACTGCTCATACCAGAATCCTCTAACAATGACTCTTTCATTGCTTGCAAAACACCATTCCTTCTTTCAGCTACACCGTTCTCTGCTGCTGTGTAAGTATTTGTACGTCTCTGTCTTATCCCCAACTGCCCCAACCATTGTTGGAATTTAGTTGACATAAATTCAGTACCTCTGTCAGTTTGCAACTGACACACTTGTTGTCTGTACCTTCTCTCTACAAAACTTACCCACTGTTTGTATTGTTGTAGCACCTCTGTCTTTGCTCTAAGCAAGTAGCAAAAACTATACCTGCTATAATCATCAACAATTATCAGTGCATATTTTGCTCCTCCCAAACTGGCTTGCATAGGTCCCACCAGATTTGCATGGACCAGCTCTAGAACTCTTTTTGTTTGTCCTGTGCTACATTTACTAACTGGGAATGCCTTTGACTTTGATGCTTTGCATACTGCACAGTCCAAATATGTTTTGCATCCCTTCAAATTTAGCCCTTCTGCAAAATCTTGCATTTGCTGCAAAACTTTAAAGCTTGCATGGCCAAGTCTTCTATGTAGAAGATGAACACATGAATCATGCTCTGCAACATTCTTAAATATATGGGAACATTCAACCTTTTGTCCCTGCAATACATATAGATTATCTTCCTTTATGCCTTCTGCACAAATATTCCCATTCCTTTTGATGAGACACTTCCCATTTACAAAAATGATCTCAAAACCTTGTTTGTCTAAATTAGACACACTTAACAAATTATGTTCCATCTCAGGTACACAAAGCACATTGGTAAACTTTGATTCCAAATATGGAATTTTTACATTGCCTCTTCCAATGACTTTTGCTTTCTGGCCATTTGCCAAAGCCACAGTTTCTTGTGCTACTGGAACAAACCTGCAAAATAATTCAGAGTCATTAACAATTGTTTGACTTGCCCCATTATCTATTAGCCACTTGTCTCTGTTGTTGCTATAGCAAATTTTTGTAACACCAAAATGTTCCTTTGCAAATCAGTCCTTTTTGGTTGCACAAATGTCCTTTGCTGCAAATTGTTCCTTTGCAAACAGTTCCTCTGCAAACAGTTCCTTTTTAGATGTGTCTTTTCTCCACAAATGTAGCAATTCTTTTCTTGCTTAGCTCTCTGCCTGCAAAATGTTTCTTCTTCAGAGACTTGCAGTCTGGACCCCCTCCTCAGGAATTTCTCTTCCTTGTGGCTGCTTCTAAAATGGCGCTTTTCTTGTTCATTAAGCAAACATGCCTTTAAAGCCTCAAAATTTAGTTCTTGCTCTTCTTTACACTCAAATATTGCAGAAACTGTGTCCCAGGTTTTATCTAAACTGTTCAACACCAATAAAACTTTCTGGGACTCAGGGAATTTAATCCCACATTGTTCTAAGTCCAAAAATAAACTTTGCATTTTATTTAAATGCTGTTGCACAGATTCACCTGGTTGCAAACAGGCCCTGTAAAATTTTTTTGACAATTGCACTATATTACATGCAGAAACATTCACGTGCACAGCTCTCAACTTCAACCAAATCTCCTTTGCAGGCTTTACATTTACAACATTTAGAAATTGTACATCATCTAAATTCAAGATGAAATAAGCCATTGCTTGATCATGACTCTTCTGATCAGCAGCTGCAAATACTTGTGGTGGATTTTCTACAATATACCACAGCTCTTTAGCTTTGAGCAAACATTCCATTTTTGCAGCCCATATAATGTAATTCTTCTGGCCCAAATGAGGCACACAGCTTTCCTTAAATTCCATTGCAGCCATTCTGCTAATTCTGCCTTGTTCTTATACTTTCTAAACACAGGCAATTTCTTCCAGCTTTAAATTACAATGCAGTCCTTAGTAAGCTCTGGGCCCATAACCTGTTAGAGAATTTTAATTTCTCTATTGGTGAAAAAATAAATCAGAAGCTCTCACAGTTGACTGCATTTAGCTGATTCAAAATAACTTCTTTATATTCATATAAAAATAATTACAATACCATACATTCTTCTTTACAGCAACATAGCTCAATTGAAGACTTCTTACAGAGAGATACAGAGACAAACCTGAGACTGGAAATCCAGCTCCTAACTCAATAGCTTTTGCACAGATTCAGTAGCACTTTCTTCACATTGGCTGACTGAGTTACCACATGACTCTTCCTGCTCATGAATATTCCAACAAAACCCACATTTTTCCTCTGTGTTATTTTGAAAGAGGGTTTCCTCATCACCATCCTGATTCCAGTAGGAAGATACATTTAATGCAAATAATGACTATTCTGCAGAAGTATGTAAATTATCACCTTCTCATTTTGAGTCTTCCAGAATGAAGCTAGACCAATGGGTAGTTACTGAGCTCCCTCTTGTGTTATTCATGCTCATGAATTTTCATCTTCAATTAATCGAGCTTTGTGAAATTTTATAAGTAAATCAAAAGGAAACCAACTGTATTTATTAGTAAATAATAATGATAATATATAACAATCATTAATTTCATTAAGTTGTAATCTTCAGTATGAATTTTAATCAATTACAGATATTAAGAATTCTGATAATTTTGGAGCCCAATGCTCCTCTCACCTTCTTCCCATGTTTATTTTGTTAATTAAGAAGAGCAATTGTGATATCACTGCATACACTGCAGGGTTCCTCTTGTATAATAAACAGGCCTGTTTATGGAAATTATCATAACTCTATTCAGATTTGCTACATTTTTTCTCCCTACTGGATTTTACATATACTGTATATCTACACACATGTTTATGTGTAGACTCTGAACTTCATCAGAATACATGGGAATTACTTCAAAGCACAAAACTCTACTGATTCTTTGATAGAACTGTGACATGGGTCCATTGTGAAGAATGTGTGTGAATCAATTTGATAACCTGGGTATTAATTGCAACATTCTGTGAAACTGAACATTCTGCATTACTGTCACCTAATGCAGTGAAATCACACAAAGCCTTCTTAACTACATTAAGAAGTTTCAAAAGAAAAAAAAGTGAAACAGTAAATCCTATTGCTTGATCAAAACTACTCAAAATCTATCATTGCCTTTTTGTCTGATATTCTAATAATTAGTATTCATTAATTATATTATTTACAGTTTTAAAAAGTGTCACTCATTTTTATATGATATTTTGTATGCTTAAATGCATGCATTTAGCCTTCTTGTTTGTGTATACATGTGTGTGTGTGTGTGAGAGAGAATAGCAACAGAGACAGGCAAATTACACCTTGTTGTGTATTTAATATAATCCCCACCCATTTCCTGATGTTATAAAAGCAATTAACTGCCCATGTTTTAGAGATGAATCTTCTAATATTTGTCTAATGGAGAAGCTTAGAAAATTAAGGAACTTACATGGCAAAGGTACGGTGTGATAATTATTACACTGAGTTGGCTAGTTATATTAGGTATAGCATTATTCATTTTTTATGGACATAATGAAAATTGTAAACACTTTTCTTGTTGAGAATATATTGAATAGTTAATTCTTTTGAATACAATATGTAGGTAGATTGCAGCTGCAATTATTCATATACTTAGAAAAATTCCATATGTTATTTACATCTGACTCTCCAGGCATAGACTTGGATTGCAGCTTGTAGAGTAGATTAAAAAGTGAAATAATAGAAAAACAACTATATTCATTGGAAAATATCTCTGAATTACTTCTTATATTTTTACATTACAAATGCCATCCTTTATCATTGATACTTAGACAAACTAGTGTAAACTATCATCAGATAATTTTTCATGATTTTTTGCATGGATTCTTTCTCTTTAATCTCTTGTTCTTTTTTTCTTAATATTTGTTTGGAAACACATGCCAAATGTGTAGACACCAAGAATAAATACATAATGAAAATTGGCCACACTGTGTTTTCATTAATGTATCCACTATCCAACTGAACTCATTCTGAATGGACTTTTCCATTATTTGTTAAATGTTAAGGAATTCTGGAAAAAGCCAGGCTCTATTTCGCAAGAAAGACTCTACCATCTTTGGAAGAAAGGAAAAAATATGACTATGAGTTTGCAACTTCCACCTCCTTCCATGGAGTCAACAATATTATTCATACCAAGAGCAAGACACGCAAGATCTTATGGATGGTAGTAGTCTTGGGCTCCATTGTCCTAGTTGCCTGGCAGGTTTATTGTCGTTTCTTCAATTATTTCAGCTGGCCCACCACAACCTCAGTTGTAGTTCAATATGTGGAAAAGATTGAATTTCCTGCTGTAACATTTTGTAATCTGAACAGGTAAGGCACTATTTTCTTCTTTGTGTCTTAGATTATTTTAAGCTATGAAGATCACAATTGGACAACCATCAAGACTAACAATTCTAGCATTTTAGAGTATGCATTTATATGAGTTAAAGGTTGCAATATTGTAGCCAGTGTAAAGTTAGATAATCTTTGTGTAATTCATCTTTGCTTTGAAAAAAAAGCATAGATAGCCTTGGGCTACTCAAGCATTCAGAACTTATATTTGCATTTCTGATTTATGCTTATAGGTTCCAAACTCAAGCAGTAGCTAACCTGAGCATCGTTTTCTTCCTCTGGAGCATAGTATCAGGAGTTCTTCGTATGTTCAGTACTGATGATAAGTTTAGTCAAGAACTACAAGATTTTTTTCAAGGGAATCAAAATTTCAGCATCAAAGAATTCACAAGAGATAATGGTTTCTATCTTAACAGCAGCACATTGCTGAGTTGTGAATTTTTTGGGAAAAAATGCCATCCAAAGGTAATATTTTTGTTTTTATAAAAAAATGTACTAGCCAAATGCTGAAATAAATGTAGTCTTGATCTAATGAGCTGAAAGGCAATATTGTCTGAAAAAATATTGTCTGAAAACTGAAAGACAGTTTTCTACCAGGGTAAGAGAATGCATATTTGGCTGTCAGAATGCATATTTTGATTTTTTAGCAAAGGGCTATATGCAAAGTTAATAATGCACCAAGCACACGCAATGTGAAAATACATACTAATATTTTATTTGTTTTTTTATTATAGCCTTTTATTATTTTTATAAATAACTCAAGGCAGTGAACATATCCTCCTCCTATTTCCCAACAACAACTGTGTGAGGTGGGTTGGGCTGAAAGAGAGTGACTGGTTCAAAGTCACCCATATGGCTTTCATGGCAAAGGTGGGACTTAAATTCACAGTCTCCTACTTCTTAGCCTGGTGCCTTAACCACTAGACCAACCTGGCTCTCAATATATCTTAAGGTTGGAGATTTTTTGCTCAGTGTTTCACCAATACATAAGGATATAGGTATACACTAGTGCAGGGGCCTGCAACCTTGACAACTTTAAGATTTGTGGATTTCAGCTGGCAGAAATCTGGCAGCTGAAAGTTGTCAAGGTTACAGACCCCTGCATTAGTGAATCACTCCACAGGTTTTTAATTCATAAAGTGAAACTTGATTGTAATTCAAAAATTAATTCCCACTTATCCATCAAAAAAAGTCAGAACATAATTATTGAAATTTAAAAGCTCATAACAAATAGTTCCCATAGACGTACAGTATTCCCAAGCAGATTGCACCTCATTAATATCTGGTTTTATTTACGCTAAATAAAAGCATTGTGACTAAAAACTTCCTGATTAAAATCCATTGATTTCACTGATGGGACCTTACTACAAGCCTAAGCATGATGAGATCTGCACTGATTGGCTACTTTCAACAGTGATCTTTAGCCAGAGCTAAAATTCAACCTTTAGTTTTTTAATTAGAAAAATACTTGCAAAACTGTGTGTAGTACAAACTTATTCATTCACTGACTTCTGTGATACTAAAATACCACAGGTAATAGCAAAACCCAAAAGCTACAATATCTGTGAGAAAATACTAACTCCATTTTTCTTTTTCTTTTTTCTTTGTGGAAGGACTTTGCTCATGTCTTTACTGAATATGGGAACTGCTTTACTTTTAATCATATTAACCTTCCTACAAGAAGAAGAGTTAGCCTTTCTGGAAGAGGCCTCAGTTTGATTTTTGATGTCAAACAGGTAGAGATATTCTCATGAATGTACCATTTTTGAAACTCCACTGGTTAGTAAAGTACTATAATTCGTTTGCTATTTCCTTGCCAAAGTTAGCAAGTCATGGTGAGGGAAAAATCAGAGTTGGTGTCTGGAATATAAGCTGTCTGCTCTTTTTTTTTTACCATTTTCCATTGATTAACTAGAAGGAGTACTGGCCCATTTAATGAGGATGTCTGAATTTGGTGAGCTAACCAGAGGGGCAACTCCATTGGGACAAAATCTTATGTACAGTAGTTACATTTGCTATGATTAGCACAGTGTTTTTCAACCAGAGCAACTCCTAGATGTGTGGATTTTGACATGGCTGGCTGGGGAATTCTGGTGGCTGAAGTCTACATATCTTAAAAGTTGCCAAGGTGGAAAACACTGGTTTAGCCTAAAGAAGAGAAGGCTAAGTGCAGACATGTCTTTCAATACATGAAGAGATGTTACAGAGTATAAGGCAAGAACCAGTGAGTGGAAGCTTAATAGGGAAAGATCCAAACATGGAATAAAGAGAAATTTCCTCATTGTGTGAGCTATTAAACAGAGGAACAAAATTATAGATGTTTCATCACTGCACTTTTTCAAGAACAGAATGTCCACAACAGGATGGGATTCCTGCAATGGGATGAGGGTTAATTAGATTATCTTAAATAATTTAATACCCCATTATATTAGAATGATTCAATGCCTATCATTCCCAATCAGCTGGCATTATTGTGGTCTTGTTGAGATTAATGAGATGTGGGGAATGGCAAATTGTATGAATTTATCAGAATGTTTTGAACTTAATTATACTACCTTTAAGCATTGCCAAAGTTTGAATGTGCTAGTTTATTGCTTCAGCTATATACTGCAATCTCATACATGCTGGAACTTCAAAAGAGCAGGTCCAAAAATACCCAGCAGGATATTGCTTATTATTAGGCTTCCTTCAAACTAGCAGTGACTTGCTTAAGTACTCTATGGAGCCCAGTCTAGTCTACATTCTTGTCCCTGCCTTTTAGAAATAGTCAAATGCAATCTTTAAAATACATTTAAAATGCATTTAACAAACATAACAAACACTTAGAGGCTAAATTCTGATCATAGGAGTTTTCAAAGATCATCTTTACGTTTATGATTGGAGCATGTTAAAGTGAGCTTTGAATGAGAATTAATGATACAAAATATCAAATAGTTGTGTCTTTAGTTACATTTGGGCAGAATACATTTCTTACCCTTAAAGAGTTAATATGATCGTAACTTAGGAATTCCTATACACAAAAGTGCAACAATATATAGCAAGATATAGCAAGATGCAATATCTTTCTTTCAAAGTGCAGTATGGAAAATTAAGGAAATTTCCACATACTGAGAAATGAGTGTCAGCACTGAGAGCAGGGGGCACTAATGCTATCATGTGCATCATGATGTCATGGTTCAAATGACTTTAATAACATATTGGTATCTACCAGATGTTTGTGATGAGAGAATCTATTCTTGCAGTTATTCAAGTATTAGAAGCAATAGGTTGTATGCTTTTAACCTGTATTCTTTGTCAGGGCATTTTCCATTGTTTAATTTCCTGTCAGTTTTCATTGTATTTGGGTAATTCTGAAACATTGATCACTTCATTTTACAGTCCAGATTCCAAGATATGTAGATAAAGTTTGAATGGTCATTTGTATGGTAGTCACAAAGACATAAACCTAAAGTGTGTACATTTTACATTTGTTTTTGTTTGCACTTTTGGTCAGTGACCATAATTAAAACTATTTGCATTTGCTCAGACCTAATGGGACCTAGTGTCCAGTAAGTATGTATAAAACTGCAATCTTAATCTGTATTGTTGAAGGATAATTAACAATAAAAATGACATATTACATAATATAGCAATACCTCATACCAATATTCATATTGTTTTGTTTCAATTCATCAACACAGTAGATAATTTTGCAAGAGAGCAGTTAACAGATCACTGACATGGAATTTATCCCATCTATTTTACTATATCTTTCTCTAAATAATCTTATTAGAGTCAGTTCACTGATGATCCTAGTCTTGGTTTTGTTGATGCTGGCATAACCTTTGCTATCCACTCACCTAAAGAACCTCCCCGATTTGATGGTTTAGGTGTTTTTACACCAGTGGGGATGCATGCCCATGCTGCAATCCAAGAGGTAAAAGTAAGTATTAGCATTTGATATGCAAAATGGGATTCAATATTATTTTATTTTTTATATTTTAAACAAATCAAAAATAAAATATATGATTTGTATAGTTATAACAAACATGTTTTAAAGAGATTACAGAGCTTTAGGATTTAGTCTGTAATAATAATTGTTGATCTGCATAGTTAAATCAAATTCAGTCCTGATAATGAAGTGCTTTAGAATAAGATAAGGATTAGATTAGGGTTAGGATTAGGGAATAGAAGGAATAAAAAAGTAGCATTTTTAAAAGTTACATTGAGATAGGACCTTGTTTCTGCTATAAAGCAAAATGTGTATGTCTCCAGTATAGCTTTTTTATTTATTTCAGCCTAGGAATATAATTCACAGTATATTCAGTTATGTTTTGTATTCAAAGATGATTTGTGCTGAAAATGTTTATTTTACAGTGATTATTTTTCTGGGCTTAATTTTTAAAAGTTGTTCAGTCAACACTTTGCTATTGAAATTGATGCCATTTTTCTCAAAATAAACTTCCTTTTTTCACGTCAGACAATTATCCAAGAATACCCTTGGGGAGAATGCAACCCAGATATCAAGCTTCAGCATCATCAAATCTACAGTACATATGGATGTCTACAAGAATGCAAGGGCCACCTTATACAAAAGCACTGTGAATGTTTACCTTTTATGCTGCCAGGTACAACTTGGCAGATGTACTTATTTTACAAAGGTCTGGATTCTGGGTTAACAAAAATCCAATAGTGTAGGAATCATGATTGGAGAAAAAAGCTACCAAGATGTCTAAAGGCAGATGTTACAATACATGTAGATTAAAATGCAAATGGGTAAAGTTCAAAACAGAAATATATAAATGTGACATACCACACTTAATGCAACAGTGAAATATAAGGATACCTCTGCTATGGAGAGAGTGGACATTCTATTTTTGCTTACCACTTTCAGGGAAAACTTCAAAGGTGATATAAGTACTGGAAAAAATGGCTGAAATTGCCATTTGATTCCTCAATAGAATAGATTAATGTAAATATTGTTACTATCTTTCTTTCTCCTATATAAAGAGATCTTATATATGCCCTGTGAGTGGATATAAAGCTGAATTGTTAGATGAATGGAAATATAAGTTTGAAAGTGCTATTCATACTTTTGTTTATATTTCTCATTTTCATTTACTGCAACTGTCGTGTGTACCTGTTGAAAAGGAAATGGCACAGAATGTGACTTGGAGAAATTTTACAGCTGTGTTTCTCCTACTTTGTGTGAGTATAACTAATAATAAGTATCACAAAACTAAAAACCCTGTTCAAAACTTCCATTGTAGCTGTACAAAATTATACCTAGTTAGATCACTAAGATATGGACATGATAATATGGCCCACTGGGTGAATAATGGTACATGATCCTCTTGCACCACTCTTGTAAGATTCAGTAAGATATAATATTAGAATGTAACACAGGGTTTTCCTAACTATATGCATATCACAATTACATAAATGCATCAGACATAATTATAAAGATTAGAAAACAAGTTAACAAGAGTCTGGCATTTACACTGATGGAAATAACAAATTAAGGAAAATATGCAGGATATGGCTTCTTGAATTCTTTCCAACTCTGACCAGCACTGGACAGTACATGGTGGACTCTGCATGCACTGCTCTAGATACTGTGGCCAATATGAATAGTTATTTAGAATGGAGCACTTGGTAATAGTCTGAGAAGCTGCACAACTGTCTTTTCCATACAGTTTCATTGGTGCAGTTATTTTCTGAGTGTCTTTCTGCACAGTCCCAAATAGGATCCATTGAAATTTTGGAACATATTAATTTTGCTAGCTTCTGCACCATTTCAATTTGATCCTATTCCGCTTAGTTTTTTTCAGGGTGAACTTGTCTATGTACATAAAGAATCTTGAGCCTCTTTACCTGATTTTGTTCTGCTGGGTTGCAAAGAATACAAAATGAATCCAGTGCAGTTGGACATCAGTGAATATTTTATTGATATAAATAATTTACTATCTCTCCCTCTATGTGTGTACTTTTTTTTCATTTTAGATAAAATAGAATTCATGGGATTGTGCACAGTAGGAACACATAATTCCACATGTCCAGTACCATGTGAAGAAACAGATTACCCAATCACCATCTCGTATTCTACTTTTGCAAGTGAACAAGCTCTGAAATTCCTATCTGCAAAGCTGAAGAAAAAAACAGAATATGCCAGGTATTTTTCTTTTTATCATATAGTCAAACCATAGGCAAATTTCAGGTTTAATTTCACTCCATATGCAGCACCTGCTTCATAGTGTTGCACCCAGAAGCTATGCAAAGCTTGGCCTGGTTACTACTTTTGCAGGAGACAAGAGAAATAATAATAAAAAAGATCCAATAAAAGCAATAGCAAACCAATCATGGTCCAAAGAGCACCTTGGATATAGCCATGCATTCAGCAGGATTTTTACTTTTTACTTTTACTTTTCTTTTAATATGAAAACATTGGATTAAAGACCCTTAAATTTTATCATGATTGTGATGTCACCTCACAGTGCAATCCCAGCTCTTTCTCATTGTGCTTTGACTTTGGAACTACTAATGGAAAAAGGAACTGGATGTAAATAAATGTTTCCATCTGTTCCTTATTCTATAGATACTATATGTTGGTAATATTTTGGGCTAGGCTATATTTTTTATTAGTTTCTGAAAGGACTATATGCCAACCTTTTTTTTTTTTGCCAAATTGTATTAGAATTATTTGCTTTGAAAGATGACATATTTAACTCTTTCCTCAGTTTAGTCCCATTGTTGCATTTTTATTTACTGATATAATCCAAGAACTGTTATGATTTATTTAGGAGAAGAAAATCAGTGTGAAGATTCCAGGGTGGGAAAGACTGAAAAAATATCATTCTAGAAAACGCATCCTCCTGGGTCATTGCTATGATAAAAACTGTACTTGCTTTATATCAAAAACAGGAGTGCCATGGATCTTTTTTGCAGACTGTGTTTCCCATCAACATTTTTATTTAATTTATGCTGACATTTGATTGTCCACAAATGGAGCTCTATCTTGCAATTACTAAGTGAAGCTTGACAAATTACAGGAAAATATTTCTGTTCCCAAGTACTTAACCAACATGAATCTAGCAAACATATTAATAAGCAAACATAATAAACATTATAAATGGTCATCTAATTGTCATTCATTGATTTAAAAAAAACAAAAGTAAAAAAGTAAAATTGTGTCAGCAGTCATAAAAATGGTGCCCATTAGCAAAACCATTAAGTAATTGTAAGACAAAGTGTTCTGAAGAGAAAAATATTACCTAAGAAAGAAATTGTTGCATTAAAGAATCCTGGATTTTCAGAACTAGGCAAAAAATAGGCAGTCTTTTTATTATTTAAGAATCTACAGTCAAAGAACAAAAAAGAAAGAAAACACCCAATGTTAAAATACAAAATAGCTAGCCTAAAAATCCTGTTGACAGCTGGAATTAAACATCCAATGGCATCTGAATACCATTGCTCTGCCACAGAATTTAGCCACCTTCCCAGATATTAAATCAGTATTCTATTTTGCATTATCAATTATACTCTTCTGTTTGTCATGGCCATGAAGCCCAGGAGAAGACATCCAGTTATGAGGCCACTGCCATACCCCCATAGATGTTTTGTATATATTTACATGGATTGTGTGTATATGTTTACTTCTCCAGCATGATAGATGTAGCATCCACCGATTAGGGTAATCAAAGCCCTCCTGCTCAGATTTAGACTAAGACCAAACTTTAGCCACGCCTCCCTTGGGCACTCGTTTCCCGTTTTGTCTTAGTCTATGCTCAGAGAGGACACAGTTTTGTTAGCTCCTCAGCAATTGTTAGTTTAAATAGTGTAGCATTAGGATTGTTAATATAGCTTCCTGTAGTGTACTCTTTACATAATTTTTGTTTTTTTAGTAAAGGATAGTGAATTAGCAACCTTGGAGATTTGCTTTCCAGAGGGCCTAATTGGCCTTGTGGATCGTCGGAGCTTTGCCGCTGAGGCGGCTTTCAGCTCAGAGTATCTGTTCAGCACACCGAGGGAGGCTTCCCTTGTGTCTGATAACAATTTTTATTGCCAGCGTTTCTGGAGAATTCAGCCGATTACCAGAGCTTCTCTCTTGCCTCGTGGCCACGAGGCTCTATCCAGGATCGCACAGAGACTCCCCCAGGCTGCAGAATCGCAAGTAGTTTGTGGTGCCTTATAGCTGTAAGGGGGGGAAGTGTGTGTAAGGTTCCCTCCGTCTTTTTGCCTGCCTGAACGGGGACTTCAAAGACGAGGCCGGAGAAGCTGTCTTACAGCTCTGACTAAGAGGAGAGGCCTTTTTAGGCGCAAAGAAGACCTGCGGCCGCCATTTTGAATTTGGTGCTGGGCGTGGTCGCCATTTTAAGGTTGCTGTTTGCCTCCAATTCAGGCCTAGCATTAGTGACTCACTGCGTTGGGTCCTCTTGGGGGTTTAGCTGTTGTTTTTTCGACACATTGCTTCTCAGAGATTTATTACAAAAATAAAATAAAATAAGATAAAATAAAATAACAATAATAATAACAATAATAACACCTATTATCTTAAATTGTGGGGTTCCTGACCTGTTCTATTTAGCTCCCGGCGCTGTGCCGGCAGGGCCCAGCAGACAGTTTTAGACAGCTGTTCTGGCTGTTTGCCATTGTGGTTGTCTTAGGGCGTGGGAAGCTTCCCTCCCGGACAACTTGATCTGCGTAGTTACCCCCACCCCAGGGCTTCTCCTACCTGGAAAGCCTGGGCACAATGGCAGATGGTGAGTCTCCTCAGGCTTTGCAGGGTTCTGATATTCCCCCCATTCAAGCAAAACGCAGATCCTCTGATTCAAATACAGGGGGGAAGAAAAAAGCTAAAACCAAGCATTTATCAACCAAAGAACCCTCCAAGACTGCTGAGCGAGAGGCCTCGAGGAGACACCAGGCACTGGAGCAAGAGTTCTCCAAAGCACAAAGGCTCAGGTCCAGAGAAGCTGAATTGGTTCCCCCTGCTTCTCTGGCCAGCTCACCTTATGAGCCCTCACTGGTGCCGTCTTATCAAGCCCCCAGGGCAGGGTCTCCTCAAGGGGGAACTGAACAGGTCAGTCTATCTGCCCCTAGACAACATATCCCTACATCCCCTCTGCCAGGGCCTTCCATTTCTCCTGCTAACATTAGTACGCATATTCCTGAGACCACTGCTGCTGGTGTGCCTTCAGCTGAGCGATCCTTATGGGCTCAACAGTTTCAGAGCTTTATGCACCAGGCCTTCAATCAATTCATGTCTTCTTCCTTAGCAGCTGGTCCCTCACAGGTTTCACCTTCTCCACCCTTGCCCGCAGACCTCACTGGACGTCCCCAGTCAGCAGGTTCAGGTATTTCTGAGACTTCATCTCAGTTTGGGGAGACTGAATCTGTTGACCTGGTGACAACTGAAGGACCTATGTCTGAGGATGAGGAGGTAACTCAGGATCCAACCCCAACATCGGGGCTTTTTGATCCAAACCTATTCAAATCTCTTTTGTTAAAAGCCTGCACAACAGCCAACCTGGTCTCGGAGCAGGAACCCAAGCCATCTACCTCGGCTGCACAAGAGTCAAACCCTTTGTTTGTTAGAAAGGTGGTAGAGGAAAAACAAGTTCCTTGTCCAGCTGTTTTCCATGACATGGTGGGAAAAGAGTGGACCTCACTGGCCACCCTACCCTCTCCTAGCAGCACAGAAAAGAGATTGTATAATGTATCTTCTGCATTCTCTTCCCTTCTAGAGGTTCCCACAGTGGACGCTCCATTAACATCTTTGTTCTCCACATCCACTGTTCCTGGAGACATGGCCGAACATCTCAAGGCGGAAGATAAACGTTTTGAGTTTTCTCTCCGCAGGGCTCACCAGGCCTCTGCCTGGGCCATCAGGGCGTCTTCGTCCTCGTCCTTTTTCATGAGAACTTCTATCATGTGGCTCCGGGAACTACAGGCATTAATTCCTCCAGACCAGGTACGCGCACAACATACTCTAGGTAAACTAGTAACAGCGGCGGAATACATGTCAGATGCTTCCCTCAACTCCACCAAATTTTTGGCCAGATCTATTGCAGCCACAGTTGCGTCCCGCAGATTCATGTGGCTCAAACAGTGGAGGGCTGACCTAAAGTCAAGGTGGCATCTTGCTACAGACACCTACAATGACAAGAATTTATTTGGCCAAATCCTAGAGTCGTACCTGGTGGAAGGGAAGGATAAGAGAAAAACCTTAGCTCATCCGTCCAAGAAGACGGATAGGAGACCTCAACAAGAATTTCGCAGGCAGTCCTTCAGGGCCGGAAGTTCTTGGGAATGGAGGCAGCCCTTTCGATCAGGGCAGTCCTGGGATTGGCCCAGAGGTTCCCGATCCTTCTCCCCCAGACAGGATCGCCAACAGGACCGCCAGAATTCAGGAGCCAGGGGTCAGTTCCAGACCAAGCGACCCTTCAGGGGGGCAGGAGGCCGTTCATTCCGAAGGTCTAAGTGATGCCAGATTGGACCCTCCCATAGGCGGACGCTTAACCCTGTTCAGCGACACTTGGGAGGTCACCACAAACGATACCTGGGTGAGAGAGATCATAAGATTCGGTCTAGCCCTAGAACTAAAGACCATACCACCAGACCGTTTCCTTCAGTGCCCCGCCTCAAGACACGCACACAAGGCCAAACTAGTAGACACAGCAATATCACACTTATTAGAAATAAGAGCCATAGAATCAGTTCCTCCGGAACAAAAAGGAAAAGGATTCTACTCCATTCTCTTCGTGGTTCCCAAGCCCTCGGGGGGATGGAGAGCGATATTAGATCTAAAGGGACTCAACCGCTTCCTAATCTACAGGAAGTTCAAAATGCAGTCCCTCAAGTCCATTCTAGCAAGTGTCAGGAAGGGAGATTACCTCTCCTCCATAGACCTGACAGAAGCCTACCTTCATGTTCCTATCAGACCACATCACCGCAGATTCCTCCGCTTCTGCCATGCAAACAGACATTATCAGTACAGGGCACTTCCCTTCGGTCTATCCTCGGCACCACGGGTATTCACAAAGATACTGGCAGTATTAGCAGCACATCTCAGATTAATACCGGTAAGAGTACAATGTTACCTGGACGATATAATCATCCAGTCCAGTTCATTCCACACTGCTCAACTAGATCTACAGACCACAATAGAAACACTTCAGAGACACGGCTTCTCAGTAAATTTCAAGAAGAGCCACACCACCCCTACCACTCGGATCTTGCATCTAGGGGCAGTGATAGATTCAGACCTATGCAAGATCTACCTCTCCCAGGAACGCAGGGATGGTATCAGATCCTTAGTTCGCAGGATCCAGAGAGAGAAGGTAGTTCCCCTTGTCCAGTTGTCACAGCTGTTGGGGAAGATGATTTCTTGCCTAGGAATAGTGCCGTGGGCCAGTCTTCATTCCAGACATCTACAATGGTTCCTGCTTCCCTTCCAGAAGCGGAACATGAGTGCCTCCACATGGAAGGTGAGAGTTCCGTACCACACTCTACAGTCACTCAGATGGTGGGGGTCACCAGCCATACACAAGGGGACATTCTTCAAGGAGCCTCACAGACTTATCCTGACCACGGACGCCAGTCTGTTCGGTTGGGGAGCGCACATGCAGACACATATGGCTCAGGGTCAATGGTCCAAGCACGACCTCACGCACAATATAAATTGGCTAGAACTCAGGGCAATACACCTGGCTCTTTGCCAGTTCTCCAACATAGTGAAGGGGAATCATGTCCTGGTAATGACGGACAATGTCGCAGCCAAGGCTCAACATCAACAGACAGGGAGGGACCAAATCTTGGTCCCTCATGCAGGAGGCCCTAGCATTGGGTCTATGGGCAGAATCCCATCTGAAATCCATCAGAGCAGAACACATTTCCAGGGAGGAGAATCGTCAGGCAGATTCTCTAAGCAGGGCGACGATAGACCACTCGGAGTGGCGATTGGAACCGAACCTCTTCAGGGAAATATCGGAGAGGTTCCGGCAGCCTCAGGTAGACCTGTTTGCTTCGCCAGCAAATGCTCAGCTTCCCAGGTATTTCACGCGGTTTCTGTCACGGGGGGCGGAGGGAACGGACGCGCTATGCAGCAGATGGCCCAGGGGACTTCTGTATGCCTTCCCTCCACTTCCCCTGATTCCAGCTGTCATCAGGGGGCAGAATTAATCTTGCTGGTCCCACATTGGCCAAGGCGTCCTTGGTTTGCAGATCTCGTGGACCTATCAATCTCCCCACCTTGGAAGATTCCAGCAGATCGCATCTCCCTCAGTCAGGGTCAGCTCCAACATCCGGACCCGCAGTGGCTTCAACTAGCCGCTTGGCACTTGAAAGGGAGAGCTTAACTAGACAGTCCTATTCGACTGGAGTGATTGCTATAATTCAAGCCTCCAGACGTCCCTCCACTAACAGGATCTACGATGCCACGTGGAAAAGTTTCTGTGCATGGTGTAATACCAGGAGGGTCAACCCACTGGCTACCACCATTCCGATATTATTGGACTACCTTTTAGACGGACTAAACAGGGGACTGTCTCACAATACCATCTGTAGGCAGATCGCAGCATTATCCACGGTTCTCATTTGCGAGGATCAGGTACAGCTATCTCATCATCCAGCTGTTACGGCCTTCCTTAAGGGAGCCGTTAATACAGGTCCCCCTGTAGTACACAGATATCCCACATGGGACCTGCCAAGGGTTCTGCAGGTTCTTACCAGTTCACCATTTGAACCCATCAGATCTTGTTCACTACACTTCCTTTCATTGAAAGTAGCCTTTTTGATAGCCATCACCTCGGCAAGATGCATCTCGGAACTTGCTGCACTCTCGATCAGGGAGGATCTTTGTGTTTTTCTGGATGACAAAGTGATCCTAAAATTGGACCCTTCTTTCATTCTGAAAGTCAATACTAGCTTCCACAGGTATCAAGATCTGATTCTTCTGGACTTTTGTCCGCGACCTTCTCACTGTCTTGAAAGATTGTGGCATACATTAGACGTATGCAGGGCTTTGCATCACTATGTGAAGCGAACCGCTGCATTTCGTAGATCGGAGGCCTTGTTTGTGTCTTTCCAACCTTCTTCCATGGGTCTGAAAGTATCATCCTCGACCAGTGGTAGATGGATTAGGGCCTGCATCTCTCATGCTTACAGGACTCAGTCTCTTCCTGTTCCTCCTCGCATCACTGCTCATTCTACACGTAGCGCTGCCACATCTGCGGCCTGGTCCACTCAGGCCTCGATTGAGGAAATTTGCAGGGCAGCCACCTGGGCTTCCCCCTCTTCATTTATAAGGCATTACAAGCTTGATAAATTCGCTGCCTCAGACGCATCCTTCAACAGAAGGGTTCTGCAGCAGGTAGTCTCTACACATGAGCCACAAGCCTAGACTTCCCTCCCGACAGGGACACGGGTGGCTTTGGTATGTCCCAATCGGTGGATGCTACATCTATCATGCTGGAGAAGGGGCGTTGTCTTACCTGAACGCCTTTTCTCAGCATGAAGATGTACATCCACACCCACCCTTAACACTTAGTCTAGGCAGATTTTTTTTAGGAGGAGCTACTGTGTCGGACCTAATGAACGCTTCGCCTCGACAAAACTGGGAAAGGAGTGCCCAAGGGAGGCGTGGCTAAAGTTTGGTATTAGTCTAAATCTGAGCAGGAGGGCTTTGATTATCCTAATCGGTGGATGTTACATCTTCATGCTGAGAAAAGGCATTCAGATAAGACAACGCCCATTCTCTTCATCATGTTTTCATCACACAATAAATAAATAACAATATTAGTAATTTGCATACTGGAATTGGTCTTCCAAAGTTGATTGATAGAACATTTTAGGTGTCCCCAGAGGCGGGAAGTTTCCATCTCTAGTTCTGGATGGGGTACATTGTCAAACTAGTGCACAATTTGGAGATCCTCCTGGATTCATGTTCAGAGACCAGGTGGCAAATGTTGTAAGTAGGGCTATTGCACAACTATGTTTTGAAAAACACACTCTTTCCTGGATTAGGATATGTTATTCATGGTCACCCATGATTTGGTTACCTCCCAAGCGGACTATTACAAAGTGTTATGGAGCATGGTGGCTTGTGTGGTTAGGACGCTGGGTTGAAGGTAGCAAGCCCACATTCAAGACCCAAGTTCTGCTGTGGGGTGGGGTGAGCTCTCTTCCTTAGCTCCAGCTTCTGCCAGGGACCAGAAATAAACCCCCAACTGGGCGTCCCCTGGGCAACAGCGATGTCACCAGCTAATCCTTTCAACCCAAAGCACCACAGTGCTTCTGACATGAGTGTGATGTGATTACAAAGTGCTCTGCATGGGGATGTCCTTGAAAAGCATCTAGAAGTTGCAACTGATCCAGAAGGTAGCAGCACAGACTTGTTATATCTCTGCTTTGTGAGCAACACTGGCTCCCAGTAAGCTTGCAGGTATACTTCAAAGTACAGGTTGTCAGCTCTCTCAACTTTTCATGGCATGAGGCAGGTGATTTATGGGACTACATCTCTCTGATTGCTTCTACCTATCTAATTAGATCCAGGAATGCTAATGATTAAAAAATGCTATCTTGCAGAACCCAGAAAGCAGGTCTTTTCTGTCACAATACTTGCCCTTTGGAACATCATAGCCCTGAGATCTGATTGGTCCTGACACTTTTCAGAAGGTTTTGAAGACATAGATATGTTTCTAGACAGGGGGTTGAATAATTTGTTGGAACCTCTCTGTTGTGATCTGAAATGATTATAGATTGTTTTTTTTATTTTAGTTGCTTTCATAGATTTTAAAATATTGTTTTGATGTACAGTGGTACTTTGATATGTAGAGTGGTACCTTGTTACTCAACTGCTTTGAAACTCTTTGAATTTGGTACTCAATGCATTTTGATGTGAAAATTTTGTCCTGGTACTCATTATTTGTTTAGTACTCAATGCACAAGCTAGAACTTGTCGGTGTCAGCTGTTTTGTGACTCACTACATTATTCCTTGTGGGAAAAATTTGTTTGGTACTCATCATTTTTGGTACTCATCATGTCTCCCAGTACCATTAATTGTATTTTTATATCTTGTTGGACATTGCTATGGCAAATGAATAGCCATGTAAATTGAATAAATACATATTTCCATATATGCATACACTTTCAAGAGTATATAATTGACCATAATTTCAGTGTCTGAACACACATACACACACACACACACACACACACACACACACACACCTTAGGAGATATTATTAAATCTACTAATCACTGATGGCAAAACATCTAAAAGCAGTAGCAACTTCATACTACCCAAGGCAATTTTCACTACACATAAAAAGTAAGATAAAATGTAATGATTCTTAATTCAAAATTTAGAAAAACTATTAGTTTGGAATTAGAAACATAATTCTTTCATTTTAATAACCAATTTTAAGTGAATAATATTGAAAGCCTGCCAGACATCTTTCATTTTAATTAAAATCCTGAATTGATTGGATCAGGCATCCTCCCAACCTCTCTCTCTCTCTTTCTGTCTTTCTCTCTCAACTAACTTATATTAACTAAGCCCATCACCCTCAAGAACTTATTATAATTAATTCACTGATGATTTAATTTCTGCTGCCAGAGTAGGGATACTTGTGAGACTGTCTCATTCCAAAACTTTTTAAGTTTGATGATATATGCCTTAATATGAAGAAGCTGATCAATCTAGGCATCCAAATGTCTTAAGCTGATGATATAAAGCAGCAGTAGCACCAATATTCTAATCCAGGTTATTTGTCTATATTCCTGTTTTGTCAATGCTTAAACTTTTCTTCACAATTCAGAGACTTATTATGATCTGAAAACCTGGGTATAAGAAGCAACTAAAACATAACAGGTTTGATGCAATGAACATGAATTTGGGCAAACTCCAACAGTGGAGGACAGGGAGGCCTGCCGTGCTATGGTCCATGGGGTCACAAAGAGTCAAACACAGTTTAGTGACTGAACCAGAAATATTGTTTACTTTTACAGATAAAAGTGTGCTGTCAGCTATTAATTGATTCTTTTTCCCTATGTAGAAAGAAAAGCATAGTTAAACTGACAACACATTATCTTTATAACCCTTAGGAATAATCTTGTATATATTGACATTAAATACCACAATTTGAATTACAAAATGACCCAGCAGCAGAAGGCACTGAGTGTATCAGAACTGTTAGGTAAGTATTCTATAATTACATTTTATAGCTAGCTATTGCTAGTTCAGATAAAGCTGAACAATATGTAATTAACTTTATGGTTCTTATTTTATTTAAATTTGCTTATATTCAACTCTAATATAAAAATAGATGAGAATATAAGGATAAATAAAATACATAAAACCCAGAGGCCTATAGTGAATACATTTTTATCATGTTTTGGCCTCATTGACATCAAATATGTTCACAGGACTGAGGTACAGTATCATATCTCTGTGTTAGATAACATGTCAATATGGAGAAAATGGCCAGCTGACATGCATTTTCATTCTGAACTATAAATATAACACAATATATTCTGTGCAGATGAGATCAAGTTGTTAATATATATAGTATTAAATTATATTGACTCCAAAATAAGATTTCTGATTAAATAAGGATATAATTGCACTTAAAAAACACTAGATTGATAAATTTGTGGCTTTCATTGCAGCTGATATTGGTGGTCAACTGGGCTTATTTTGTGGAGCTAGTATGATTACCATAATTGAAATTGTCGAATATGTTTTCACCAACTTCTATTGGATGTGTGTTTTTCTTCTACTAAAAGCACCAAAATTGCCTGATTGGGACACTTCAAATCAGAATGAACAAATGCACAAGAGAAGAATACAAGAGTGCTAAGACCTTGCAGAAAACAAATACACGGCATTTATTTTTAACATCTTTGATACTAGAGGAAAATAAGGCCTTAGTATCATTACTCATTTTTTATCAGGATAGCAAAAAGTCCACTTTATGCACCTATCTGTACAGAGTAATAGTTACCTATATTATTACATTATACTTTGAAAACAGTCCAGAAATTTCAACTGATGTGAAACAGCAGCCAGTAAAAATGGTGGTCACTCCAATCCCATTATGGCTGGGCTTTGCAATTTGTTGCCATTATTTAAGTACTGCTTTAATATTCAAATTGTTCAAGAAGATCTTATTCCATATATCTGGTAGCAAAATTCCCCAAAAACATTTCTCAATCTGTAGTTACTGTTTGGTACTCTCAATTATTAAAAGTGGTAGCTGCAATGAAGAGACTTTTTCAGTTGTAACCCCCTTTTTCTGAAAAAATGCCTGCTACCAAAGGGATTTTCCCCAAACTTGCATTATAATCTTTTCAACAGCATGTGAAAGCTTTGGACATGAATTAATGGTTTATGATCTGTCTGTGTTCCTAATGTTGCTTTATTGATGTGTTGCATTACTTTTTAGCTTCAAGTAATAACTTATTGCATAGTTATATTGTTTGTTTTTTCCTTATCTTTCTTTACCTTAAGTATTTAATTCATATCACTGCAAAACATAGATCCTTAGATAGTTTTATTGAATAATGATAAGCAGGAAGTGGTTAGTGTACAGTTAAGCATGTCATGTTAATCTAAGAAAAGGATCAAGTAAAGTTCGATTAACCTTGATTAAGTGGATCATGTAAATACAACCACTATGTGAATTTGCTTAATAATCTGTGACTGTAAGATTGTAAGACCTCTACCTAACCATAATTTTTTTTGTCAGGAAAATTTAGATTAAATTTGGTTCATTTCCACATATTAATTTATTGATATATTTTTATCAAGAAAATGTATATTTATATATAGGGTAGAACTTTTCCTGAAATATGCATTTTTTATTCAGTTATTCTTCTGAAATGAATTTATTTTAATACATTTGTTTTCTAAAGCAATTAATTACTACAAAAGCAACACATGTGTTTTTATGCAGTTGCACATAATAACAGCTGCCTAAAGAACATCATTAGTGACAAGGTTTTTTATAAACATCATTTAATATATAGATACATTTTCATACATAACAAGAGGAAAATATGTGGCTAAAATGAAGTAAATTTAAGTTTCTGTGATTACAGTGTATTGCCAGCAGATGTCCTACTCATCTTTCTCTTTTAATTTCTAGTATTTTTTTTTTAAAAAAAAAAACATGACACAATGTAGGAATGACTTTCATTCATTTGTGGAATCAATGAAATATGGAAATGCATTCCGCTAATTCCACCAGAACAGCTAATAGAGGCAGTTCTTGCTTGGTATCGATATAAACTGATAGTGCTTTTGTACTGAAATATTTTCCAGCTGCTTCACATCGAACTTATATTTTGACCCTTAGGAAAAAAGACCTATTGGAATTCTTAGTTTAAGAAGAAAAAAAGACAACTAAGGATACATGTGATAAGAATTATAAAGTTATAAACACTTATACATAGTGGGGTCAAAATTGCAATTATTTCTTCCAGTACTTGTTGCATAAAAACAAAGTCAGATCAGAACTTATTCATGGGGCACTGAAGATCTCAAAAGGGATATTTTGCTTCAGAGGCCTAATGTCTCTTCAAAGTGATTTTCTGAAACAAAATTGTGTCTCCTTTCTTATCAGTAGAGAAGTCAAATTACTTTGACATCGACAATGGTTACACTTTGAGACAAGACCGGCCCTGCCTTGACTTTTGATAAGCATAAATTGAGTGTTAGCAGATTTAGGACAAGCAAAGAAATTATATTTTATCTACTGTGGAAAAGTTTTACATGAAAATAGTTCAGTCCCTTGGTCAGTCCTTAGAAACCGGTTTCTGAAGGTAAGGCAATGGCCATTACTTTAGGTGACTTAAAAGGATTTATATAAATTCAGGAAAGAAGACAGGATCATAATAACTCAAAGGAAATATAATTGAGACAGTAATATGAAGCAAAGGAGAAAAAAACAATTGTCTTTTTACAAGTTTCTCAAAAGGAGCTAACTGGTCACTGGGGAAATAAGAAACTGGACCAGATGGAATGAAAATCTCATCTAGCATGGATGTTGGTGTGTTTAATAGTGCAAACTGTTAATATATCTTAAAATATTATTTGTAATTATGTATATGTATTGAAGCCAACTAGCACGTATCATAGCTTTTAAGTGCTAAATTCTTTTTTTGCCTGGTTCAGAAAATAATTATACTGTTAAATGTAATGCAACCCACAGAAATGTATCCACCACTTTAGTTTAGTAAAGTAAAACAGGGAGTCATGGCAGAAAATTTTTAGAAGTTTACATAGTATAGAAAAATGAAGATACTACTTCTATCCATTCTTGAAAAATATTTCCTGGAAATGGCTCAATCCTCTCAATTGCAGATATTGATGAGGCAACATCAGTATCTGATGCTTGGCATTCTTCCCAACTCTGAGAATCCCCAAACATCTGGAGAGAAGGCTGATATAAACAATAGCAGAATTGTTATTTGGAATAAGAATTGTAATATCTATTTTTTTAGAAGGGTCTGCAAACAAATGCAGACAAAATGAATTATATATTGAAACTCATTAATAATTATAGACACAGCATTTGAAGATTCACAGAATTCATTGTGTTACACAATATTCAATGGTGTTTCCTAACTTGGTTTTTAATACAACTCACTCTTGCTCTGCCTTTGTCTTTCTGTGAATATGTATGTTTAAATCAGTATTCACTGCCTAAAGTAGTGGACAATATCAACCTCCTGGAAAAGTCTTTGCATTTTTATTGCCAAGATTTCCGGAGTGATTTGCCATTGCCTTCTTCCTAAGGCTAAGAAAGAATCATTAGTCAAAGGTCACCCAGCTGGCTTTGTGCCTAAAGCCAGTCTAGAATTTACAGTCTCCTGATTTTTAGCCTAACACCTTAATCACTATACCAAATTCTCAAATTCCCATTTATTCAGGTATGGCACAGCAAGTGCTTCCCTCCCAAAATTTAAACAGACAACCAAAAAGATGTCCCAGATACCTGAGCATTATGGAGTCCTTGGTGCTCCTTGAGCTTGGTTGTTAGCTTACAGATGTTTCATTACCTGACCAGGTAATATCATCAGGGCTAGTGAATGTGTGGTTTGCTCCCTATTTATATTAAGTAGTTTGCCATGCCAATGTTGATGGGGTGTGGTTTGCTCCTTGATAGTTCCTTGATTAATGTTTTCTGTTTCATTTTTTGATCTGGTGTTAATCCCTGCTAATCTGGGTGCAGCCTGTTGGAAAACATATGTTCTGGTCTTTTTTTTTCTTATATTTGTATACAATAATATTTATTGTACTAATTTTATAGCATCAATATTTTTATAAATATATATTATAATATATATATTGTAATATTGTATTGTAATGTATTGTAATAATATTTTTATTGCATTAGTTTTAGATTAGAATTGACTCATGGCTAAAGAGATAACAGTGCATAAAATGTAAAACAAAACAGTCTCTGACAGAAACCTACCTAAATGGTTTTCTTTAAAAAGAGTGTGTAGTCCAAATCCAGTCCAAGATTCCAAGAATAAGGTCAGATAGTCCAGAAGTCAAAATTTCATAGCATAATTCACACAAATATCATATAACAACCAAATATCAGATGGTTGTTTCCAACAAGGGATTATGGGCTAGGACTGCCTTTTAAATAAGATTGCAACCAGGGAACATTAATCAAGAGAGGAGCCTATAGAAGACATCTTCTCTACTCTATTTTGTTTGCTAGGTGCAGGGCCTTGGAGACCTTATGTCATCACTCTCTGACTTCTCTAGCAGCTGAGGTGGTACCTATGTTTGATCAGCCTCAAGTGATTTGTGACTTTGTGTCTCCTAAAACTGACATTCCACAGGTCCTGCTTCTTCACATTCAAAGTCATTGTCCAATTCCTGGATCATGACAAAAGAAAACAAAAAAGACCAATATATATTTTTTTCAGCAGCCTGTATGATCTGTATATATTATATTATATTATATTATATTATATTATATTATATTATATTATATTATATTATATTATATTACATTACATTACATTACATATCATATCATATCATATCATATCATATATCATATATCATATATTTATTACATTATATTTATTATATTATATGAGGGCAATTCAGAAATAAACCTCTGGTTATCAATGATAGACACTCGCAGATACAGAACACATTAGAAAACTACAACATTACATTACTTTTTGACATAATCGCCATTCAAATTGAGGCACTTGTCATAACGTCTTACAAGGTTTGAAATTCCTTCTGCAAAAAAATCTCCCACCTGGGAATGAAGCCACTCTGTAACAGCATTATGAAGCGTATTGTCATTGTTGAAGCAGTGCGACACAAGACATTGTTTCATTTAAAAAACTGATTCATTTTCAATGGATCTAGCATATGAGCCAACTGCAACACAATCTTCTTCCACTCCTCAGTGCCTACTGAACTACTGTGTATGGCGCCATAGGATAGGTGTCACTATACCCGCCTATTTCTTGCACATGCTCAAATGGAGGTTTATTTCTGAATTGCCCTTGTATTATTATTTTACAAGCCAGGATTTATTTTCATATTAGTAATAATAATAATAATAATAATAATAATAATAATAATAATAATAATAATAATAATAATGTTGGAAGGGACCTTGGAGGTCATCTAGTCCAACCCCCTACTCAGGCAGGAAACCCTACACTATTTCGGACAAATGGCTGTCCAGTCTCTTCTTAAAAACTTCCAGTGTTGGAGCATTTACTGCTTCTGGAGGCAGGTTGTTCCACTGATTAATTGTTCTCACTGTCAGGAAGTTTCTCCGTAGTTCTAGGTTGCTTCTCTCCTTGATTAGTTTCCACCCATTGCTTCTTGTCCTGCCTTCAGGTGCTTTGGAAAATAGCTTTGATTCCCTCTTCTTTATGGCAGCCCCTGAGATATTGGAATACTGCTATCATGTCCCCCCTTGTCCTTCTCTTCGTTAAACTAGACATACCCAATTCTCGCAACCGTTCCTTATATGTTTTAGCCTCCAGTCCCCTAATCATCTTTGTTGCTCTTCTCTGTACTCTTTCTAGAGTCTCAACATCTTTTTTACATCGTGGTGACCAAAACTGGATGCAGTATTCCAAGTGTGGCCTTACCAAGGCATTGTAGAGTGGTATTAATACTTCACGTGATCTTGATTCTATCCCTCTGTTAATGCAGCCTAGCACTGTGTTGGCCTTTTTGGCAGCTGCAGCACACTGCTGGCTCATATTTAGGTGATTGTCTACTAGGACTCCGAGGTCCCTCTCACAGTTACTACTATTGAGCAAGGTGCCACCTATGCTGTACTTGTGCATTTGGGTTTTTTTGCCTAAATGTAGAACCTTGCTTTTTTCACCATTGAATTTCATTTTGTTAAGTTAGTGCCCAGTTTTCAAGTCTGTCCAGATCCTTCTGTATCTTAAGCCTGTCTTCTGGAGTATTGGCTATTCCTGCCAGCTTGGTGTCATCTGCAAATTTGATGAGTTCCCCATCTATCCCTTCGTCCAAATCGTTGATGAAGATGTTGAAGAGCACTGGGCCCAGAACAGAGCCCTGGGGCACCCCACTACACACTTCCCTCCATATAGATGCAGTTCCATTGAGAACCACACGGTCAGCCAGCTACAGATCCATCTGGTGGTGATTCTGTCTACCCCACATTTTTCTATCTTATCAAGTAGTAGGTTGTGATCTACTTTATCAAATGCCTTACTGAAGTCCAAGTAAATTATGTCTACAGCATTCCTCTGATCCACTAATTTTGTCACTTGGTCAAAGAATGCAATAAGATTTGTCTGGCATGATCTATTTTTGACAAACCCATGTTGGCTTTTAGTAATGACTTTGTTTGCCTCTAGGTGTTCGTTGATTCGTTGTTTGATTATCTTTTCCAGGATCTTCCCAGGTATTGAGGTCAGGCTGATAGGTCTGTAATTTCCTGGATCCATTTTTTTTCCTTTTTTGAGGATGGGAACTACATCAGCTCTTTTCCAGTCCTCTGGTAGTTCCCCTGTGTTCCAGGATCTTTGAAAAATATAGTTCAGTGGCTCCGATATCACATCTGCCAGTTCCTTGAGAACTCTGGGGTGTAATCCATCTGGTCCTGGCGATTTGAACTCATCTAGGCTGGACAGGTGCTCACTTACCATTTTCTTGCTTATCTTAACTTGTGTTTCTATTTTGTTTTTTATGGCACTATTTTTGATAGGTTGGTCTGTTTTTTCCCTTTGTGTAAAGACAGATGCAAAAACCAAATTAAATAGTATTGCTTTCTCCCTGTTGCTTGTCACCTTCTTGCCACTTCCACCCACTAATGGACCAATCATTTCCTTCACTTTTTTCTTGTTTTTTACATGTTGAAAGAAACTTTTTTTGTTATTTTTGACTTTGGTCGCAAGCCTTAGTTCATTTTGAGCCTTGGCTTTCCTCACTTCATCTTTGCAGGCTTGGGATATTTGCTGATATTCTGACTTAGTTATCTTCCCCTCTTTCCACTTTCTATACTTGTCCTTTTTATCTTTCAATTTGTCAGAGAGTTCTTTATGCAGGCATGCTGGTTTCTTTTGAGAGCTGTTGTTTTTCCTCTTTGTTGATATTGTGCTAGACTGTGCTTTTATTATCTCATTTTTCAAAATTTCCCAAGCTTCTTGAGTTGTTTTCCCCTTGAGGATTCTAAGTTTATTGAAATTAGCTCTCTTGAAGTCCAAGACTCTAGTTTGACTGTGTTCTATTGCTTGTGCTTCCATAATGATGAATTCTAATATTGCATGATCACTTCCTCCCAGGGTTCCTATGGCTTCAACACCTTCTATCATTTCATCTCTGTTAGTGAGAATTAGATCCAAAATGGCTAATCCCCTAGTTCCCTTCTCTACTTTTTGGGATACAAAGTTGTCTGCTAGGTTTTCCAGGAACCTGTTTTATCTTCCACTTGGTGCGGAGTTTGTCTCCCAGTTGATGTCAGGGTAGTTAAAGTCCCCCATTACTATTGTGATGTGCTTCCTACATACCTTAGTTAGCTGACTAGCAAAAAGTTCATCTATTTCCTCTGTTTGGTTGGGTGGTCTGTAGTATACACCTATGGCAATGTCATCCCCCCCCCTTTTATATTGACCCAAATGCATTCAAGACAGTTTTTTTCATTGTTGTGCTCTATTTCTGTAGAGATGTAGTTATTTCCTATATAGAGAGCGACTCCACCTCCTCTTTTATTTGGTCTGTTTCTTTTAAATAATTTAAATCCCTCTAGCTGTGTGTTCCATGTGTGGGTTTCATCCCACCATGTTTCCGTAATGGCAACAATATCGTATCTGCCCTCATTAACCTGAATTTCTAGTTCACCCTGTTTGCTGTTCATACTCTGTGCATTGGTGTATAAACATTTGAGTCCTTTGTGAGTGGCCCTGTGTTTCCTTTCTACATAACCTGTGTGGTGCCTGAGTTCCCCTATTGTCTTACCACCTATTTGGTTAGTGCACTTTGTGTGGCACTCGCTATTAGAGGCTTCATTTTGCTTGATAGCAAGGTTGGTATTCTTGTCCACACACACATCTATGCTACATGCACTGATAGCCCTATAATTTTTAGATTGTCGGGGACAGGGTTGCTCCGTATCAATTAACAGTTCCCGCTGTTTAGTTTAAATTTCCCTCCAGAAAATCTGTGAATTTATAGCCAAGTAACTCAGTCCCTTTTTTTGATGGATGCAAACCATCTCTTTTGTACATCTTTTGATTGGACCAGCTACTGACATCGTGACTAATATATCCAACGCCTTCCCCTTTACACCACTGAGTTATCTGAAGAGATTCTAGTCTTTTGCAGTCTCCAATATTTTGAATATGTATAATTGTTTCAAGAACAGTGCCTCAAATTTTTAAATCAAAATTGATTGCCTAATTTCCATTTATGTAATGTTTTATTCCATCTCAAGTGTTTGTGCCTCAGATCCTTCTTATCTAGAACTGTTTCCAGCCTTTGCATAGGTTTTAAGCCTGGAAGTTGGATAATTGTTGGTTGCTGACAGTACAAACATGTCTTCCCTGAGAGGTACCAACTGTCAATATTTTGACCCATTCTAATAATTTGCTCTTTTTGACATGAATGAAAATGATTTACATTTTGATTCATAGCAATTAATAGAGAATATTAGTCAAACAGTTGATTGCCACCTCCTCCATATGCAGATACAGCTTTTAATATAATAACAGAGTTGGAAGGGAGCTTGGAGGTCTTCTTATCCAACCCCCTACTCAGGCAAGGAAACCTATACCATTTCAGACAAATGGTTGTCCAATCACTTCTTAAAAGCCTCCAGTGTTGGAGCACCCACAACATCTGGAAGCAAGTTGTTCCACTGATTAATTGTTCTGTCAGGATATCTAAAACTCAGATCTAAAACTTTTTTTGAATGTTACCCTTTGATAGACATTTTGCTAACAATAACAATCATTCTTTTTTATGGAAGATACCGTAGTAAATTTTAAAATCTTTTCATGAATCAGTTATTTATTACAATATTATATAATACTTTGTTTTATAGGAAATGGCTTTTAATGTTTTGATTTATATGTGCAATTTTGATTGCTAGATACATACCATTATTTATCAGAAGCCATAAGGAAAGAAAAATATTGTGTAGGCCAATGGGAACAGGAAAGAATGAATGAATGATACTCTGAGCAAAATAAAAACAACTGTTTCTGTTTCTCTAAACTTATAAATATGAAACCAGATATGTGATATCACTTCAATTATTTTGATATTGTGGAATTGCAGAAAAATGGACTATTCAGTGAAGTCATCAGATTATACAAAATCAATCAAAATTGTTTTCATGCAATGCTGTGTTAGAGAATATAACATACTGTTCACGTCTTTTAAGACATGGGCACTATTTTATTGAGATACCATGAATGTTTATAAAAGATGTTTAAGATG